TTCAGTGGAATGGCTTGTAAATAAAAGACTCTTGGGCTTCAGTCTTTATATTAATGGATGCATTTGTATTTTATGAACAGACATGGGAGCATGAACCAGAGTCTGAATTTATATCTTTTCTCATTCACCACATGCACCACTGTGAGCATCACCCACTGCTGCTTCCTTCAGTTCTCCCCACTACATCTGTAAAACAAATGACCAAAACTCACTCCTCCTGAGGAGTTCTCAGCTTTACGAGGACACTCATTGGCCTGGTGGCCAGCACACACGTTGCAGAGCTGAACTTTAGTTAGGAGGACATACATGCAGCATCACTTCTGCTGCTTGCTTGGATATCACAAGCTATTAGAGTTATTTCTTTCATGTTCTTTCCCATGAGACGCAGGGATAGATTTAGCATTAAAAATTACAATAGGCTGAATTGTGAAGCACTGCTTTGTCCACCAATATTTCTGTAAATATAGTTCCTGAAGTGTGTTACTGGATGAGTATTTAGAACTTCACAATTTCTAAGTTTTAGGATCTTCCAAAATCAAACTGTAACTAAACATAGATTTTTAAAGATTAGATGAAGGTTGTTATCAGCATATGTTGTACATGCAAGCATTCTATGCACCTCTACTCAAATCTGTATCTTAACTTCAAAAAATGCTGGTTTATAACTGGAAATGTACATATTGTTCTTTTTCAAGTTACAATCTTAACATTAGAAAGGATTCCTGGGACTCATTGGTAGACCTTTCATCTTAATTTCTTATTACAAAAAGCAATCTCACACTGTAATTGAAATATAAACTGTTAGATATCATACACGCAGTCATTGCATTACGAAATTTTGCTAAGGTAACCCTTGTCTGAACACTACAACAAAACATCACTAAGGTGGCCAAACAAAACTAAAGCTCTGTCATCGTTTTTTCCCCCACACTAAGAGAGGGAAACTTGCTACTTTGCTGACCTTTATTTTTACTGTGGACATTCTCCACAGTGCCACAACAATGTGTTTCAAAACCAGGCTTAAACATCTATCCTTAACGCTATCTAAAACCTGAAGTTCAGCTTGGATAAATCCAAAAATGTTTAACATATTCACTTGACATGGAATCTATGTACACATTCAAAGCAAAAAAAATCAAATATGTACAGAATATTACCTTTATGAAATGAAAGTGTAAGATAAAAATCTAATCTTAGAATTAAACTTCAAAAACACTGCTGTAAATTAGAAAAAGGTTTGAAAGGTTTAAAGCTGTTGGAGGAGAGTAGCAAAAGGCAGAAAACCTCAGCAAGACAGTAATTTAGAATGAAATCTTAAGTTCTAATTTGTGTTTGACTCGATACTGGTTAAGCAATAGGCACTATAGAGAAAAGTGAGATACCGATACTAAATTTTCTGCTTCTTGGAGGAAAACATTCTCTTAATTAAGAAAAAAAAATCCTAGACTGTCTGCAAATGTCTCAATACATCAGGGGGCTCCCTAATATGTTTTCCCTTATCCAGGTGTTATAAAAATAATTGTGGTCATGCTGTGTGTGTTCTACGAAGCTTTCTCCTAACCTGAGCAGTTCAAGGACACAAGCAGAAGAAAAATCAGCAGATACAAATGAAAATCAGGAATTTTAAATATACAACACAAGAATAAGTAATTCTAAAGGTGGCTGGTCATAGATGCCTGCTTTTTTCATATTATCTAAGCTGATCCTAAAGCTGTTAAAAAACAACATTCACAAAAAAAAATGCTAACTGTGGTTTAGTGACCTTAAAAAGGTTGCCATGGGACTAGCAGCAAAATGAGATCCACGCAGAATAGGTCCTGTGGCTAAAGGATGCACATAAGCAAGACTAGCAATAGACTGGGAAAACAAGACATGTTACTGAGCTAGAAAAAACATGCAGGTGTTGCTGCTACTCTAATATGCCGAGTCACTTTGGGAAGGAAGCCCGTATCATCTTGGAATTTGGATCAGTGTCACATATATATAGGAAAGCTGAGGGATTACAGTGGTAGTCCACCACTGTAGACCTTTCTGTAAAAGACAAGTTCTGAACAAGTGTCCTATAGCTTCCAAACACTGGATAGCAAAGAACATCGATTTCTGTTGATCCTGTGCCCAAGTCAAAAAGTTTCTAAAATCAACTGAACATGGTTTTTTACCCATTGCACAATTTTCCTTGGATAAGTCACTGTCCCCAAGCTTAACCCTTATAATTTTTCAGGATGCAGCAGGTATTTTTGAAGGAACAATCAGGATGTTGATCATATGTTTTAAAGATCATTTCCTAAGCTCTAGAAAAACTGAGAGGAGATAGATTGGGATAGGGTAGATTATTTTTAAATATTAAGCATTCATTGGTCTGACATACTTGGAACTAAATAAGGCTATCTAAAAGGAGTAAGAAAAGGAGAAAAAGAAAGAAAAGGAGTAAGAAAGGAGTAAGAGAAAAATAAGTCTGTTCACATTGTTCTGACATCCTCATTTTCTATCATAAGGTATACTAAGGACTATGCCACAGAAGAAAACAGAAAGAACTTAATGCACTGAAACACCTGCTGCAGATATTTACAGAATTACAGGAGCGAAAGATTGAAGGTTTCTATCCAAATTCAGTTGTGACCTCACTTGCTTCCTTCTGATACTGCACATATTTTATGGAGTACAAAGCAGAGCACTGTCAGCCTAAGGCAATGAAAAGCTGCATGAATCCTTCCTTGCAGAATTTCTAATCCTTGGTGGGAAAGTTCTAGCAGTTGCTCTGTAAACTTGCTGGATATGCCTGTCTGCAGCTCTGAAACCATATGCTATAAAATAATCATGATCCTCACAACCTCATTAAAGGTTTCATTCTATAGACATTTCTCAAATTGTGATACTACCCTCTTCAAATATTCAGATTTGGAAATTTGTGCTTAACACTTACATATTGCTAAACACCTATTAGGAAAGAACATACAAACATTATGGATGACTATTGCCACATGACCATAATTCATAAGATAAATGGTTAGGGCACTTTGATAATGTACAACCAGAAACCTGCGAGAAATAGGATGCCTTCTATTTAACATTGGGCAACCATGCAGTAGTGTTTCCTGTTCTAGCAAACTTTTATTGTAATAAAGCTCCGCTTCAGAGATTCAGAAAATAAGGTAATCTTAAAAACAGATCAACTGGCATTATTGTATCAATTAGTTTTAAATCTAACCCAGTTTAAATTATGGAATGCAGAATCATTTTCTAATAATTCTCTCTGAGGTTAAGATTATATGATTTAATCAGTTATGAACCATTACCACGCCATAAACCTGGCATAGTATAAACCTAAATTCCAGTACAGATTAGGGATTGACTTGCTGGAAAGCAGCTCCGTGGAGAGGGATTTGGGAGTCCTGGTTGACAACAGGTTACCCATGAGGCAGCAGTGTGCCCTCGTGGCCAAGAAGGCCACTGGGATCCTAAGACTAAACGAGCTGGGCCTGTTTAGCCTGGAGAAGACAAGACAGAGAAGATCTGATCAACATGTATAAGTACCTGAGGGAAGAATGTGGGGAGGATGGGGCCAAACTCTTCTCGGTGGTGGCCAGTGACAGGACCCAGGTAATGGGTACAAGCTGAAGCACAGGAAGTTCCACCTCCATATGAGGAAGAATGTTTCCTGTGAGGGTGACAGAGCCCTGGAACAGGCTGCCCAGAGGGTTGTGGAGTCTCCTTCTCTGGAGATCTTCAAAACCCACCTGGATGCCACCCTGTGCCACGTGCTCTGGGTGTCCCTGCTGGAGCAGGGGGGTTGGACTAGATGGTCTCAAGAGTGGCCTTCCTCCCTCTTCTGTCATTCTGTGAAACCTCTATATACCTGATATCTATAAAATGAATATAACCAGAAATCACTGAAACAAGTTTATTTTCTACCACATTGCCATTTATGTTGTAGGCCTTTAGAAGGCTTATGGAAGCCAAATGCTTTGAGACACAATAGCCACCTAATTCCAATGTCCACCTCACCAGTCAGTCCAATATCAGCAAGGGATATTTAGATATTTTTCAAGTTTGAATTCTCCTGAGATTGAAACCACGTCGGTTTCTTATGAACACACATATATATGTACATGCACACACACTCCCCTGACTAATTCAGGCTTGTGACATTAGCCTTATTTCTCCATAAACCTATAAACATTATGTAGAAACTTGAGATTTCTAATCAAAAAAAAGTGGTTGGTACTTTATTTAGGGTGAATATGAGCACAGGAAGAGAGGAGAGAGATTAGGAAAGGTTTCAAGAGAAAAGCAGAAGTCTGATTAACAAAAGGCATTTCCTTGAAAAGGAATTCCTCCTTTGCTGGGTCGAATAATGAATGCTAAGTCCTGAAAACAGCCTTGGTTGTAAAGTTTTAAGACTGAAACAAGAACATTGCATTCTAAGTTATTTTTCTTTTTCTTTAAGATTAAATCCATTTTTACGGATAGTTTTGATTTTGCAAGTTGTTTTTTTCACTCCACTGCCCTACAAGTTTTATGTTAAAAATCAAAATAGATATGCAAGGCTTATTGAGAGATAGCTATATGATTTTTAAAGCTTTAAGGATTACGTTCTGAAGCTTTGATTAAAAAAAGATTTTTAAATTGCTGAAGAGTTATTTGACCATAAATATGAGTCTAGAAAGAATATAATTTTCCCAGCTCTAATTAAGAACTGAGAGTTTACTTTTTTTGTAAAGCAAAATCTAACATTGTACACTAGGAGGTAGACAACTATTTTGCTTAGTGCACTGCAAATGTCTTTGTATGTTAGTGTATACAGGCTTTATTTTTATTAATACCAAATAGTTCAAGTGTGAAGAGATGGCAAGAGATAGCCATGTCCTCTGTAGGTTCAGGAGAAGACTTATATTAACACACTAAACAGACGCTACCAAAATCTAAAGCGATAGTTGGCATCATCCCTTCAACAATCAGCAGGTCTCGGCAGGTCAGTGGCTGAGCGGAGCTCGACTTACGTATTCGCCGTAGGTCTCCTGCGCGGGCGGCGGTGGCAGGGGCCGGTACCCCGCGGGGGGAGGGACTCCTCTTGTGCGGGTGGCCAGAAGCCCTCGGCTCCGACTGACGGCCCCTCTGCTGGGTGGCACCCCCCGCGGCGCCGGTGCCCCTCTGGGTACTCCTGCTGGTGGCGGCGGGACTCCCCCACGTCCCCTGCAAAGAAATCCATTAATTACACCCAGATATCACGCGCTGGATCTCCCCTTCAACAGATCCCTCCCCCACATCACAACATTCTGTTTCACTACAACGAGACAAAAACTCTGTGAAAGGGTCGGTTTACAGTTTGGCATTTGTCTGTACACTTTAACACAATTATATTGCGTTATGCAATAAATACTGAAAGATACAAATTAGGTGTATATGACTTTTAGCAGTGAAGTTATTAGCTTGAGCCATTGTTTTTGCTAATTGCATAGACAGAGACACCAAAGCCAATTTGCTGTGATAAGTCAGCTTCACTACAGCTTAATTTATAGTATGCAAAATCCCAATCAAAGATTATCAGGTTAATTTGAAGCTGTCAGGTTATATTGTACTCAAATTCTGCACAGAGAAATCAGCTGCATCTCCCTTCTGATCCCATGTAGGTTTCTGAATGCAATCCGAAGATCACTTTGCATGCAAGAGACCAAATGGGTCAGAACATATGTATATATTTTCTTATTCTGAAAAAGAGAGAAGACTTCCACTTGTGCAGCTGTATTGTTGCAAGAAATATTCAAAGATGTATAAAATGTACAGGGTGCTTATAGGATATCATCTGACATTCTATGTGCACTTAAGAAAATAACAGCACTATATAGGCTTATATATTTATGCAAGCATACATTCATTTTTAAGTCCTGAAAGAGTGATAAGGACTATGCTGCATTCTCTTACTTTGGATACTTCACATAAGATCTGAAACCTAAACTGTGGTAATTCTCAAAAAGATTATCAATTCAAAGGTGAAGTCCCTTTTTATACCTTTAACATCTACATTTGAGCTAGTCCCTTCACTGTCTCCATAATGTCCCAAGATGAGACCACAAGGCATAATCAAGTGTTAAATTCAGTTACTCCTCTTTTAAACAGGCTGTTTAAAATATGACTAATTCTCCTCTTATAATCAATATTGAAGGGAGAAATGATTTAAACTGAGTTTAAATGGCTGATGTGTGTACATATACACTTGTTCACATGAAACACCACCCTTAATGTCTACCCTAACACTACAGAATTTGGAACACTCCTGTTCTACCTGCTCTCATCCATCAATCCATTTTTCTACTTAATCTCAAGAGTAGTATAATGAAAATATTTTGTCCTGATATCAGTACAAACTCCTGACTCAGCCAATGCTGTAAGGCCCAGACATGCTCTTGAGATTGTTTCAAGTAAATCATACCATATCTCATCAGTTAACTTAGAGAAACAAAATTATCATATCACAACTAATTTGTATTTGAAAACCTTCATCAGGGGATGAAAAAGATCAGAAATGCAAACCCTGACTATATAATCAGGATACGTCTAATTACTCCTAATAACTGATCAAAAACAGAGTCACAGAGCAGAATATTTTAAACAAGCCTAGACAGTAAGCGATTAAAACTGTGCTTATTACTTGGTTTTGGCTAATCTGTAGAATGCCTCCTCAGCACAGGGTACCAGCTGCTTATTTGACTTCATTGTAGTGGGGGCAGGGGTGAGCAGTGAGCTTCCCAGACACAGCCTGCTGAAGCAATATAAAGAAATAGCAAATGTGACATTTTCCAAGTCAAAGAAAGGGAAATGAACCTATTGGCAGAGACAACTGTCAATACCACAAGTTTAAAAAAAAAAAAGAAAAAAAAGGCAGAAAAAAAAAGTCAGACTCAAGGTAGACTAAGAACCACTACATTTTCTTCACAGCATTCTTCACATTCTTCAGATAAGGGAAATAAGCAGGAAATGGGACATGCTGAATTATCATGGAAAAACATTTGAGGGAGGAAAAAAGCAAGAACAGTTTTTAGATCTAACATAGGCTTATTCTTGAAGAGCTATTACAATATGAGATCCACATGATGAAAAGAGGCTATTCTTGCCTTTTGATAAAAAGAGTAAATAGGGCTCAGGTGGTGACAGTGCAAAATCATATTTCTCCTTTATTAGAAGACTACTCGCATACCCTCCTTGGTAGTTCCTGTACCAAGGAGAAGTGTAGTTCTGGGTTACACCACTCAGTGGTTACTGCACCAGGCCGGAGACAACTAGAAAGGTGCAGATGTTGAAAACCTAGTAGCACAAGAGCTCAGTTACCACCACACAGACTGAGTTAACGTCAGGGTATGATGTTAAGACTGTAGATTATTATTTTAGTAAAAAAATTACCAGGGAAGTAAAGAAACAAAATCCTGACATGTATAAGGAACAAACTGACTCCATGCTGAAGAACTACTTGAATAGGAATCATTGAATAGACAGGTAAAACCAACAGATCAGTTACAATATTGCTTAACTGAAAAGAAAAGGGTGTTAAAGATTTATAAGGGACAGCTAAAACAATAGGTACATAAGCAACATGGGAAGACATTTGGAAAAAAAGGAAGTTAAATACACAACAATTGTCAAGGGATGACTCAAGACAGGGCAAAAAAAAATCACTACAAATCAGAATACAGAAGAAAATCATCTTAACACAAAGGATCTCTAAACACAAATGATTTAAAAACTCTGATAAAGTAAAATTGAAATAGCCAGAAAAGCAAGTTAGAGATAGAGTTTGAAGAATAATTTGTAAAAATATGCAAACAAAAATATTAAAATATTTTTGTAAACAGTCTGGAGTCAGGAAGCCTGCTAGAGCCCAAAGCCAAATTACCCATGAAGCATATTTGAAGACAACATGTACATATACATTTACACTCACACATATATTAGAGATATATGTGTCTATATACATATGCATATAAGACATTTAGGTTTTTTTTTTGCTATATAATTATGACTGGACAAGATACTGGTGCTGGAGCCTTTCCTTATGGGCAATGCATTGGGTAGAGCATCCAACTAATCTATCTAGGCAGATTACTGAACAAGAGTAGACAGTAAAAGTAACTCTATAAATTACAGTGGAAGTGCCTAACTCTTCATTCCAGAACAGAATCCATCCTGAATGACAAGGAAAAGAAAACTGTAAACAAAATTTCAAGGAGTGACCAGAAGTACACATGGAAGTTAAAATAAAAACACATTCCTAACAGTATACAAAATGACAAGCTTTTGTCTATTACTACCAATAAAGTGTCTACAACTCCAAGATTGGCCCAGTGGTTAACACAGGGGAAAAATAATCAAATTTAAAATTTAGAAAACATAGGAACAGATCACAGAAAACACTGCACTGCTGCGTATGTTTATGGTACACCTGTGCTTTGAGAATTATTACAATTCTGTTTCCTCATTTGAAAAAGCATAAAAGAACTAGAAGACCATCAGAAATAATGTCAGAGAATCAACAGTATGGAATAGCTCATACATAAATGATAAAAAACGAAGGCTCTGCAGACTGAGACAGCTGAGGCTAATGCAACAGTTCTATAAACATGAATGGAAAAAAGTACATAAGAAATGATTCGTCAGTCTTGCCCAATATAAGATGCAGCTGATGTGAAATCAGAGAGCCTGATCACTAAATGGGGTACTGGTTCTAGGCCTGAGCCACTACCACTGCTCTCACGAACAGCAACAAGTCCCCAAAGACATCTTGTACTTGTGTCCTAGAGCAACTAGGACAGAACTGAAAGCACCATGCCAGTTGATTCCCTCCATGCACACATCCTTTTCACCATCTTTTCTTGCTCATCCTTCCACTTACCTCAGTTTTGCTCTGTCCTGACTGCTCCTGCTACTCATTTACTAACTTCATAATTTATGCACTTCCCCTGGTCTTATGTCTTCTACCCAAGGCTTCTTTAATACACACCATATTAGAAAGCACTCACTGGGTATCTAATGATCTGTTTTCAGCTACATTCTCATGTTTCTTCCACACATTCTGTGTGCGGTCTACCATTGCTGATCCAGTCTCCTTTTTTGTTGCAAAATTTTATTTTTCTGAGCTTTCCCTCCCACTAATAACCTGCTCTTCAGAGGGATCTATCACCTGCTTCAACTCTGCACAAAGACAGTAGAAACTTTCTTCTGTACCCCTTTTCTACTATAATCATCTCATCCACAAATTCAAGCACCTTTGTGTACCTCAACACTTAACAGGCATCCCTCTACACCCAAACTAAAAACAAAAAACGGCAACAAAAAACCCCACCTCTTTTCTATCAGCTTCATACTGATACCTTCCCATTGACTCAAATCTAACACAGCTTAGTCCCTCCAAGTCTTCCTTTACTTGCTTGTTTCCACGACAACATCATCCTGCAGGCCAGATTTCAGCTGTCATCACCAACTCTCCTGGTCTTCAAACACATCCTACATTCACACTATGCTTTTTATTTTAATATGAACAGTATTAAAAATATGGCCTTTCTTTCAGTTCGCACAAAACACTATTTGGCATGGAGAGCTTAGATGTCATCAAGAGTTTAAGACAAGGAAAGGATTCCCCACCACCACTCATCATCAGACATTCTTTCATATAAATTTAGGGTTTATAAAAGTAGATTTTGGAATTTTCCGAAGTGCTAGCGATTAGATTGTTTTCATGAAAATTGTTGTGTTTGTACAAGTAACTATGAAACATTGCTATGACCCACAAATTAGGTTCAAAAATGCAATCTATGTTTTCACTACAAGCAGCACTGTCCCTGGAAACATTTTCTTTCAACTAAAAACACTGTTGCTACATCAATATCCATTTATGTAGTTTTTCAATCTGAAATTTCATTCTAATATATTGCCTTGTCTGTTAGCCCCCTCTTTAATCCTCCCACAAGCTCTTTGTTCCCAATTTCCAAAGGCCACAAAACACTATCCCCAAAGCTTACACATTGTCCATTGGCAAAATATTAATTCTCCATCAGACAGTGATGCCAACCTCTATCTGCTTATTTTCAAGTAAAAGGGCCTTTTTTGCCCTTTTGTGTTCCTTAACTACTGTGCTATCTCATCATCCTTCTGAACGTCCTCTTTGCCCTAAGGCACTTAGGTACATCATTACAACAGACTTGCAATACACAAGCTACTGTGTAGGCTCCAAGTACCTGCCTTCAGGCTTCCATATACTTTGACTGTTAGCACTTTGAAACATGATTTAGCAAGTAAAATGGTAAATGGTCCTTATCTGTGGTCCCTCGGGTGTGATACATAAAATGCACATACGCATGCATCTCCATCTACAAAGCATATCTATCTGTTAAGCATCACAGGAGGCACTGTTTTGTTTTTGCTACATTTATGAGAAAAAGACATCCAGAATTTTAGATCAATATGCTATATAGAACCTCATAGAATTTCTCTGGGTGAGATAAATCCTGTTCTTGAAGAACTTACTTGTTTATATTTCACTCAGTAGCAGATAGTTAGTAATTAAACATGGATTCCTAGTTTTTCCCAGGTACTATTGCCACCACCTCCACCCATGCTTTAAAGACAAAATGATGGTATTACATAATTAGGACCACTCTCTGACCTAGTCTCAAAGAAACAATTTACTGTCCTAAAACAGATTAGAAACTTTCAACTGATTATTTATTTCATCATCAGTTTGGGTTCTATTTCTTAGCAACAATACCCCCCTTGATTTTTGCTACAGAGTGTAGCAGAGGAAAGTGTATGGGGGAAATACGTCATACAGCATCCCTTGAAAGTAATGTCAAGAAAACTATTTTTGTTAGAAAATGAAGCTTCTTTTAATGCTGTTTTATTTTTATACTTGTGATCTGGTGTGAGAAAGCGAGGGGAAAAGAAGCAGTAGAAGCTTCAAAGGACTTAATTTCTATAAAGCAATCTTCTTGATCTACCATAAATACTCTAAAAACAGGAGAACACACTTTTCACAAACAGTTAAAACATGTCCAGTGTGATTTTTAAAGACAGTAATTACAAGAAAAATTTTATTTCACAAATCCCTTAACAAGAACACCTTACTTCAGTACCATTAAGAAAAAAATTAAACAGTTTTATAACGCATCAATTCCTAGGCATCTGCATAAAGACTTTGACATGAGGAAAACATTCTGAAAATCTAATACCTCTCAGCGACATTGTACAATTTGTTAGTCTGGGAACACATTCCTGAACATTTTAAGTTCACAGATAAGAGGCTTTTTGATTGCCAATGATGCAGTATTTTACCAGCTTCCTTACAGAAGTACTTAAACACTTCTTTGGCATTAACTTGTAATTTTACCATACCTAATTTTTATTAGGCCATATATTATTTCTGCAATTTATCTGCCAAAAACTAAGTTATTGTCCACAATCATGTAGACACCATAGCTTCTCAGCTGATACTCCCTACCAGCTTGCCTGAACAACAATTCTACTTCCTTACCTGTCATCGATCACAACTTCTCTCTTCTGTTATGCATTCTTATTTCAAGTTTCTCCTTTCACTGCACAATTGAATGTGTTAGTAAAGTATTCTGAAAACACTTTTTTTAAAAAAATAAGAGTATTCGCATAGCTAGTTCACCGCTTTAAGTTATGTGGAAGAACAATGCAAATAAATTTAATTCACACACTATTATGCTCTTTTCTCACTATGTCCCTCTAGAAGGGAAAGTACTTTAAAATAAATACTTCTCAAATTTAGGGCCAAAACCCTAGCACCTTGTTATTTAATCAGTGAGGAAGTATTTTGAATTAATTTTATCATTCATAATTCCTATCTCTGCAGAGACTTAAACTGGGGAGTGAACTCAATCCACTTTTTTTGTTTTGTGTTGTTTTTAGTTAAGCACAACTGTTTGGGTCCAAATTATTTCACATTAATGAGCTAAACGAAGCTAAAAAACATGCTGAATGCCAACAGCAATTCTCAGCTATTAATGACACTCATTGCTCTCCCCCTCACCCCACTGATTTATCCATACCTTCAGTTTCATCACTGCCATCCCCCAATTCTGCTCTTCCAATGCATTTAAGATTAAATTCCATTTTTACTTAATCATAAATTCAGAACTGTAAGTTGTAGAGAGGAAATGCTATTTTTATAGCTGCAAAGTGTCCTCAGAGGCATATACTAACATGTGTAAACACATGCCTGTTTATGGACTCTAGTTAATCAGATGATTCTGTTCACATTTAAATTGTAGCTCTCATTTATACAGCACTGACTCTGGATGGGAATTCAGAAGCATTAAAAAAACATTCCAGAGGAGATGTGAGTAGCTAGAAAATGTAGCAGCCTCACAGTAAACAAAACGATATTCTAAGCTTGCTAGCCCAATAATTTAAAGACCATAATCCTTTATTTTATACATTTCTCTCAAGCGATTTAAGAACGAACCATTTTAGAGTTTAAATTAGAAGAGTCTTCAAGAAATGAAAAATGGACTTGCACCAGAGCAAACTTATGTTCCTCCTCCTCCTACATAGGATAGACAGGTGATACGTAAAAAGGGTAGGTATTTGGCACAAATTCAGGTCATTCATAGCATTCCTACCTTGAAGGTCATCATTGACTGTATTGAACGGAATGAACAAAAAGAAATAGTGCAGAGGAAGGCAGGAAAACAGCTCTAAAGCCAAGATCAATGCTAAGAGGAGAAAAGGTTCAAGATGACCCTTCTATTCAGTAATAAGTCATTAATTTCCAACTTCAATACAGAAATCTTACTTGGCTCAAGTCAAAAAACTATCTAGAAATAGCAGAAAAAATATTGTCAAATCACATTAGGAAACTACCATACACAGGAGAAACTGTGCATAAGCTAGAATTTCATATGCAAGTAGAAAAATGTCTTTCAGAAAGTAAAACTTTTATACAAAGCTAAACAAACAGCTAACCAATGTTGGAGACAAGATCTTAAAGGAAGGCACTTCAGTTATTTTGAGTCTCAACATGTCTGATAAGTAAAAAGGCATAAGTTAGTATTTATTAAATAGAACTATTCAGGAATAGCATGCTATATAAAGGCTTAAAAAATAGCAACTTTAACACAATAATGTATCACATTTTCAACAAGATGATCTGAGTGTGAAGACTGGTATCCTAAAAACATTCTACTGATTAAACACGTAGAATTGAGTTAAAGACCTTTTTATATTTCATTTTACAAGTCTTCTCAGACTTTTGAAGATACACAAAAGTATCATTTACAAACTACTTTGCTGCAAAATCTTGGGGGTCTCTGGGATGCCTGTTATTCAAACTGTTTTATTTAACAGAGTAAGGCACAGCCTTCCATCAATGGAAGCATTACTCAAGTCAACTGGTGCTAAAAAAAATAATCAGCATTACATAGTTTGAGATCTTTAACAAAATGGCTTTTGTATCTCAGCAGCTATAAGTATCACTCAAAAAGTATTTCAGCCGAAAAGATAACTTCATTTTCTTTAGACCATACATGAAAAGAGAGGACAAAACAATTTCCTTTTGTATTTACAGAATCATCTCAAATTCAAATGCTATTACCCAATTTACGCAGAAGATTCTTTGATAGTTGTATAGTAATAGGATGAACTACAAAAGACAGTGAGCCACAGAGCAGCATGGCTTTCATTAAAGGCTAGTTTAGATAAAAAGAATAAATACCCAAATCCACAGAAGATGAAAGAAAGTTTTAAAGCTATTAAGAACAAAGCCTATCTGCAAGCAAGTGACATTCACAGAAAACAGTTTATCACTATATTAAATATGAAAGAAAAAGAACTAAATCTTACTTTCTATTTTACTATATGGACTACCTTACTATATGGACTAATGGAAAATACAATCCAAAATGGAAATGATCATCTCTTGAAGGAGCTGGATATTACATACGCAGAGACATATATCTGTAGATAATGCATCAAATTTACAATAACAATTCAGATACCTTTACCAAAGTAACTTGAGTAAATGCACACAGCTTCACAGCAGATCTCCATGGCAAAAAAAACTACGGATCAATACCAAAGGAACCATTTTCAGTGTGTCTCAGTGTGAAAAGAAACTTTCTAGTGGAGGTGCAAATCCTTTTATATCAAAAATATGTACTATTACTCCTTCTTGGAATGTGACTGCCACCCAAACCATTGAAGTTACTAAAAAACGTGTCATTAGAGGAAAGCAAGACAGACGTCTACTGTAATTTGCCAGAACTGAGGGATGGTTCACTACAGTGCTAAAGAAAGTTAACCTCAGTATTTAATTAGCACCATTTTGAATAACATTAAAATTAAGAAAAGCAGCAGAACATAAGCAGTGCACAGTAAGTTACTTAGCTAATAATGGGAGAACAAAAATTTGTGTAATTAGAAGTCCCTATACTTTCATAGGAATTTTATAGAACCAACGCTAACAAACTCTCCAAATTAAGGCTCATTCCCCACTGTATTATTAACATAAATCAGGATACACATAAGGAGATCTTCCTAAACAGACTAAAGCCTCAGCGATTTTTCCTTAACACACTTAATCCGAATTAAATTACACCTCAGAATATTGTCTTGAACTGATTTTAAATGTTCAAACATAACTTGTATTAATGAGAATCATTGAAAAAGTATCAAAGAAAAATATATCCTATATCAGAAAAAACATCCTATATCAGAAGTACAGCAGAAGTCAACAGCAAATTTGTCTCTTCACAAAGTGCCTTTTTGCACAATAAAAGTGCAGTATCACTTAAGTGATCTTAAATCCAAATTCCACCTCCTGAACACTTCCATGCTGCTACATTTTCATCACGTTATGAAAACTCAGTCACAGTCAATATCCACAAACAATAAAAAATAGTGTATTCTATAAGTTAGAGAAAGCATTCTGCATTTCAGCTGACACTCACTGCAGGAGACATTTGGTTTGTCAAAGTCAATCCTTCAATATTTAAACGCTCCTAATGCACAACTGCTTCAGCTAAGGAGTGGCACAGGTTCCTACACAGCAGAGCTGAGCATCTATGACGAACAATACCTACATTAAGAAACAACACACAAGTTCCACAACCCACTATCGGCTCAGTTCGTAACACAAACTAATAGACTATCTTTAAAGAATCAAGATTATTTCTCTTACCTTCTGTTCTTTAGTGGTCCTTATTTGCTTTGCATATTTTACTTTATAGATTTTTGAAGGAAAGCCTAAAACACACACATTGAAATCAAAATGTCCTACAGTTTAGCTACTTACCTGGACAAAGCAGGAACTGGCACTCCTCTTGCCCGAATAGATGGCTTTCCTCGAACAACTGGAACTTCTGCATTTTCTGAACCACCATTCAAATATGTTAATTCTTGAAGCTGTGCCTGTCTGATTTCATCATTGTAGTCCTAAAACAGAGGAGGAGTAGGGGGAAGAAAACTATTCAGCCACCACACTGGGCTAGTACCAGCAAACATCCCTTCTAAATGTAGGTCAACCTATCACTGGAAGTGTAGCAATAACTAGAACAATATTGTAAGTGCATCATTTGGACAAAAAACTCCAAAAGAATTGCATATCGGTTGCAATTTTTACTCAGGTCACATTTTTCATTTGCACTGCATATTACCTTCTAGATAGCTTTGAAAATTAAAATACAAACATTTAAATGCTGTAGATGACTTGGGGCAGAGGGAGGAGGGTAAAGGGGGGAGATGAAAGTTCCCACATTCTGAGACAACATCTGCTTTTTTGTTTGTTCTTGGCTAGAGAACAATAGTCCATTAAAACCAGTGAAAATCCCACTGATCGGTGTTGCAATGCAGTGCAGAAGAAATACACTGCTGAGAGCAATCCTCATGAGCATGGAATAATCAGGAGCTCACCCTTTTAAAAGGGAGATAGAAAAAGAAGAAGAAATTTTTGTTGACTACAAATGCACACTATTATCTAACAAGAAAGCGTTCCAAGATCTGCTTTCCTTCAATATGCAAAGGTGAACAAGCTGGAGACACATGATTTGTTATTCTGCACAGATCTTCTCTCAAGGTCTACAGAAATGAAAGCTGACGTTATTTACATAGAATAAACACAGTACTTCTCAAATACACAAGAGTCTTTTCAAGGACCTTGAGCCAACCTCAAAAGCTGGCGCATTAAACAGGAATAACACAAATATCACAATGAACTCTTTAGAACTGAATATATTTCCAATCATTTTCCCTGCTTAAAATAAGCCAAGGAATGCATTTTTAGCAGAGGAAACAACAACAAAAAGTTGTTACAGCATGTACAGCATGTAAATGTACACATTAAGCACTTGAAAATGTCGACAGGCCTTCTAATAAGAGTGCAGAATTGACATAAATTGCTCTTATCTTCCACCATTTAAAAACTGTCCCACAAGAGCTCCCATTTTAAAGAATGTTAGTTCAAATCTTGCCAATTTTATAAACTATTTAAGAAACAATCTTTATCTCTTATTAATCTTGCCAATTTTATAAACTATTTAATCTCTTATCTCAAGTCTGATTTTGTATTTATTTATTAGATAACTACCAAAAGAACGTCAAGTAGTTTTGCACCAGACAGCTCACCCAAGCATTAACTCTGCATTACAAGATGAACACCAGTATGAAATCCGTGTTCCTCATTTATTCTTGAACTCTTCTGCTGCCCAGAGACTTGCATGAATAAAAATTTTATGCCATTCCTAAATACTGTTACTAGTGTTAAAAGCATGTGACGCTATAAAGACATTTGACTGATCCACTGACTTTTGAATAGGTTCTAAAAGCTAATTCCCAGCTTCCCATTTAAGATCATGCTTCATTTAGACAACAGCAGAAATCAAGAAGCAAAATTAGTCTTTTCACACTATGATGGTCTCAGTCTCTGACAGTTTTCCAAGGACAAAGAGGTTTGGAACATCAGATCAGACTGTTTCAACAAACTGAATATTTAAAGCTTTTCAGAAAGATATTCAATAGGGCTGGACCATTACACAACTAAACTACCAGAGTCAAACTAGAAGCATCTGGACCAACTATCATACAGAAACTCCATTTTGTTTCCTGCTTCTGGACCTAACATTTGGAAACCCTGTATGGACACAGTTGGTTACAAATGCAAAATTTTACATAAACTACAGAATGAAGCATCTTGAAGTATAATGTTAGTGTATCATTAAGACTGGCCAGCAAACACAGAATACTTTGGTCACAAAGTTCTGACACAGCCTATGGCAGCACTGTCCCTCATAACTTTTCCACAACACATCCTCCTCAGAATTAAGCTCCCAAAAATTCCATTCATCAGCAGGTATACAGCATGCTAGCTTCATTTATTATTTTTTATTTTTTAAAACAAGATGCATTTGGATTGCCACTGTGCATACTGGATCCTCTTCCTCCCCCGTTTCACCTCTTTTTCTTGCAGGTCACCACTGCAGTACCTGGTGGCCTTACCCACAGCAAGGACTCTACAGTGCAGAGGCACAGAAAAGATAGATGGTCCTTATCACAAAGGCTAGAGGGAAGATATCAAGTGATAGGCCAGTACAGGGAAACAATAAAAGTAGGCATGATAAGTAGTGTTGTTAATCCATTATGCTCTGAAATGGATTCTACAATTAAAACTAACAGATGGTCAATTTATGACTATCCAGTGCTGGAAAACAGTGCATTTCAAGTCAAATTCAGTAGACTACCCAATCTTTCGTCTTCCCCTAGAGGCAAAGGCATGCAAACCTGGACTACACATCTCTAGACAATTTAGGAAGGGGAGACACTGACATTTCAGTTAAGCATCTCTGATGAACTGAAATGTGAACAAAACTACTGTTGCACTTTGTGAATGTGGCTCCATCCTGACTATTGAACACAGAGGATGTTTTCTTCTAGGGGAAGACTTTTACAAGAGATAGTTCCTTCCAACATATACTGCAGTAGCACTTAGCAAACAAGGCTCTCTGTCATCTATACCCGAGATCATATTTTGATTTTGATTGCCAAAACTGTAATATGCAGAACGGTGTAATGCATCTTTCTATCCTGACAGGTAAGCATACAACATTTACATGCATTTTTTCCCCAGAGAAACATTTCAGACATTAGATAGAAACTTTAGTTTCTCTGACCTTCCAAAAAGTATGCAATAGTTTCAGAAAAACAACCACCAGCCCTTCCAGACACCATTAGGAGCCATTTCATCACCAGATTTTACAGACACTGAATGTGCAGGCAGCAAGACAGAATACAAGAAAAATGTGAAAGTTTTGCTTGCATGATGCAAGTGTACCAGTATATATTTTTTCCTCAAATGTATTTGTATACATTTCTTTAGGACAAGAAAATTCAAATAATCAATAACCTAAAATAGAATAATAGTGTAGCTGTCAAAGCAACTACCACTACTTAAAAATCTTCATAAGAGTCTGGCAAAAGATTCCTCCCTTCCTAATTTAGAGGAATGGAAAATATAACCTAAGCCAGAAACAACAATTCTGCCTGGAAAAAAAAAAGGGGTTCGAATCAGGTTAGCTTCATAAGCACTTTTGACCAGAATAAACTTCAGGGCATCTTTTTATGCCTTGGTTTCTGGCCAGAAGTATACCGTTGTAGATACTCAAGACTGAACATAAGTGTAAAGTCGCTTGTTCATGGATCTGGAAGATGTGATCAGAGAAACTAAAGGTTATCCACTTACTTGAAGAATAATTTGTATTTTACATTCTAGCAAACCTAATTTCCAAGACTGGACAAAAACACCCATTTCTACAATATTCATAAATTAAGTTCAACATTTAATGTTATTGGAAGGCATAGCTAGGTTATGCTATAAAGAAGTGCTAAGAATCTGATAGTAGATAGTAGTTGTCTTCTTGAAAGACAATTGATGGCTTGCCAAGAAAGCTCTACTACACTTTATAGATAACATTGTGTTTTGCAACAGTTAACCCAATAGCAATTTTAGGAGGGGAAAAGCTGTTACAGCCTCCTGGAGTTTCACCCAGCAGGAGTCAGGAGGAAATAGGCTATTTAAAACCATTATGAGACTACCATTGAAGAGCCAAAGGGAAATTATGGCAGCACTGACTTGATCCCCTGTTTTAGAAGGGACCACACATCTTTATTGTGCTGAGCTAAGCTGATGTTGCAAGGATCAAAGAAATGAGTAGTAAAGCATAAAAACAGATGGACTTGTTCTTGCTAACTACTGTATTTAATTTATTTATTGGTTTAACAGCAATACACTAGTCACTACGTTTTAATAAAAGTTTTATTAAGTCTGATGAATTATGCCGAACGAAGAAAAATTAAGATCTTGAATGCAGAGGCGGAGGGATTCACATATCCTCATTTCCAGGGCACAGAGAAAATATTTATAATTTCAAAGCACAAATATATTTTTCAGTAAGAGATTATGGAATTAAAGTCTTCACATTTAATCCTAGGATGCATAATGTAAATACAACAACCTTTCATGCCATGACAGTGTGGTATTCCTATAAGGATTTCGTTGGGTATATGAAACAAGTTACAATTTCATCTCTTCAAAGAGAAAGCAGTTTGGAAACTCCAAAGTTATGATCCAGGGGTCACTTATTTGCATTGAACATAATGCTCAGGGCATTCCTTTGGACTTCAAGTATCTTAAGTGCATTCACATTAATATACTTTAGCTTGCATGACAATGTTCTAAATGAACACCAACGTATCTCCACTTACTGTGCTTTGGTTCAGACTGTGGAATAATGGTGGACCATACATAAACTAGCTCCCATTCGAAAAAAGCAAAAAACAGAAGAAACTGTCTGCAGCTCATGACTAGCTCTAGTCACTCCAGGAATACCAGGTTCACATACATGGACCAAAGTAAAGCCCTCAAAACACAGCAGCAGCAATGTCATGTCATCAGCACAAACTGTTTCACCCAAGAAACCTCAGTTCTAAGTGCCTGTATCCCCTGCTAACGCAGCCATGTAAGCTTTCCAACCTGTCCTTAACAGTTATGTGTCAATAGCCTAGTAATTTGTGTCCTATTGTCATGCAGAAATACGTATTTTAGTTATGTTTCCTTACCTAGATCTTCTGTGTTTCAAAGATCTGATACTAATCATCACTTGAACAATAAATAACAGCAGGATTTCAGGAATAAATAGAAAATTAGATTTCAATAATGAATACTGATCTTGAGCATGCTTCCTATATTTAGTCATCTGATAACCAAAACAGATGAATGTATACTGCAGAACTTAAGCAATCACTGATTTCACACCCAGCAATATTATTTCTAGTGTCTGAACTGTACTTAATAGCTTAGATTCTTGCAAATTAACACTACAAAGTAGTCACGGTTGCTCCTTACGAGAAACAAGTCTCCTATGGAAGACTTGGTATGAGGAATACAAACTAATTTGGAATACAAATACTGGATATACTTCCTCTTATGCATCCAAACATGAATTTCACATCCAAACTGTACAGTTACTCATACATTTGAAAGTACTATGAGAGCACAACCTGGTTCTAAATTACTGTAGTTAGAGAAACTGTTAACACATTTTCCATTTATTGACATTAAATTTTTCCAAAATCAAAACACTGGTCCAACCACTGGTCTTGTACATTGCATATCAATTACTTTTTTTTTTCAGGAAAAAAGATTACTCCAGACTTGGAAAAACATTTATTTTGTTTATAATTTTAAACTACCCATGTACAATATCAGAGCTCCCTCTTATCTGGACAAGCATACTTGAAATACCTTCCAGTCTCATGAGTTACTACTGTCTACCCAGAAATCTACTTTTGACTACAAAAGCCTAAGCAGGGTAAAAGCACTGGCTCCAGAACTGCCAGTTCTGCTCAAGTATGCATCAGAACCAGGTAAGAATGACATACCTATACTATCATCACTAGCTTTATGAAAGAAAAAGAGAGAATATGAGGTTGTCTCGATTCCCAGCATTGATTACTCCGAGGACTAAGTGGCAGAGCAATATTACCATTGCAAATGTACCTCCTCTTAGTAAGACAGAAAATGATACTGATGTTTTAATGTTTGTGGGTGAGGATGGAGAAAAACTTGTCTTTGATAAAGGTTATTTTCCCAAATTATTAGATCTTTTCAATCATTTACAAGCCTAAATACTTTGCATTTGACTAGTTTAGTAAGGATAAATTAGCTCTCTGAAAGTCACACTATGAGATGAGAGCACATGTGGACAGTCATGCACTGACCCAGTAATATGTAAAGATCAAGCAGCATGACCTGACCAGTATTTCAGAGTAATTTAGAGATAAAACTGAAATTCGGGTGTCAACTTTTAAGTTCAGTGCCCTTTCTACTAAGAAATATTGCACTACACAAACTAAAAGCATTTGTTTCCACACTGCATAAGGACTTGAATGAGCATCAAGGACAAACATATTCTGTGAATTGTTTATTATTCTGCAAATTTGTTACCATATTCAAAGGCTGATAAAGGAACACAGGAAAAAAATACTGTTATTCAATGAAGAAAGAAAAGAAAAATACTAACAGGGATGAGGAACTTCTTGATTTCTTCCAACGCATGTCCCATTCTGGCATATGCTTCTGCTGGTGGAGCAAAGACTTCAATTAAAACATGGAGGTCATCATTTAGGTGGAAGTATTTTGCCTCACCACTTTTTCTCAATTCTTCTTCCTAGGAGAAGGAAAAAGATTTGTTTTGTTGTTACTGCTGCTTCTCTGCCCCCTCCCTCCCATTTTAAACATGGTATGTACAACCCAAGCATTCATTACAGTAGTTTTGGAGTCTTTATATACGCTATTTATATTTAGATGTCAACAGTTGAAAAGTGTATCTTACTGCTACATTTCAAACCATGATCATGATATTAAGATATTAGAAGAGTACCAGTTTGCCATATTACATGCCTGGTAACACTCAAAGCAGGACATAAGACCAATCTCTGCTGACATACAGCAAGAGTACCACAAGGAAGTTCATGTTTTCTGAGTGCCCCTGTGCATATAACATGTAACAGAGGGAAACTGCAAAACAGAATGTCTTCAGAAGCAGATTTGACCTAATATTCCATCACACATCAAGCATTTAATCTGAGTTCATTTCACTCTCCTCTTATTGTACTAAGGTCCTAAGTTTCTCATTGACATTTTTACCCCACAACAACTACCTGATTCACGGAACAGTGTATGTTGCCTGCATATGAAAGTAAAATTTTGTGGTATTTTAGGAAGAGGGTAGGGAAGACATTGCTAAATGCCTTTTTCAAAACTTGTTTTTTATTCTGCTTCATCCAACCCACTTCAAGACATCTGCAGAAACTATGCCTTCAATGTAGAGTTCAGTTCTCTGAAATTTGCGTTCACATGCAAATTCCTCACAAACCCAAGGGACAATGTGCTAGTTTCAAAGATATATAGCAAATGTCACCCCTATCATGTGTGTTACCTGAGTATTTTGTAAATATTTGGTATGTGATACAGAACTATTTCACATGCATACACATTATACTAATAAAGTATGTATTCACAATGAAAACATCACAAGAATAACAAGTACTTTTTGTGCAATGTATTGTCTATGTGCTACACTAGATAGCAGACCTAGGAAGTCATTTTAATGGTAGCATTGTATTAAAAGTCACTCTTTTCTGCTGTTTTTTATGCTCTTTGCTATTTAGCAAGCATCAGGTAAGTACATTTATTTAAAAATTAGTTTTGATGAAAATTGAAATTTCCTCATTATAGTTATGGGTTAGAGTTAGTGACAAGAAGGTTTTTCTCACAGCTAACATTCTTGTCAGAGTATTTAAAAAAAGATTGTTCTGCTTTGCTTTAACTATCTGATTAGCTCTTAAAAGTACTTGGAGCAAGAAAATTAACAGGCCAGGGTCAATAGACTTAGACTTTGTCAACACAACCATTATCTTGTCAATAAAAATTAGAAAGATCTTAGGAAATAAACTCCAGTATTATGATTACTGCTATTAAATATGTATATTTTGAAATAGCAAGCATTTCTCACTTAAACGGTTACTTCAAGCACTTATTCAGGCTCTAAGAACCATCAACTAGCCCTGCAAGCACTTATGCTTTCTTCAGTTGAGCTCCTTATATATTTACTATACACATGCGATCAAGCATTATCCCTCCCTCTTTTTTTAAGGCAAGGATAACTAAGCAGCTAGATGTGCCGGAAATTCAAAAAAAGTAAAATGGTCTTTCTTGGGCTTTCTACACAACTGTTCCCCTCGGGCATAGGAGAATCTCCTTCAGTATCAAACTACTTGCACACACTGTAAAGCACCATTAACTGTCTCCAGTTGTTAACTTTAGCTCAACACTGTTGCTCTCACTAGCTGTCACAGTTAAATTTTCAGCTTAACGCGGGGAAGTTTGATAGCTCTAAACTGTACAACCCTCTACTCCAATAGCTTAAACAAATGAAAATTTCAGGCAGCTAATTTGTTTCAGAAAGTTGGGGCATCCAAAAGAACTAGAACAAATTGCAACAGCAGGAAGAAAATGAGAAAAACAAACATAAAAACAAATTCAGCTGGCATCAGCTAGTTTTTGAACAAGCCTCACTCAAGAAACAGAAGCCATTAATTATTCAAGAGTGAAAAAAAAGATAGAGATACAATAAACTTGCACTGCAAACACAGCAAGGAATAGAAAAGTCAATTCATGCGTAGTTGTTGGTGCAAGTTTTTCAATAAGCAATTTTAACAAAACATACATGATGATTTAAATTAAAGCTGTTCAAAAACTATTTCCATAGGTAAAGTTTATCTTTCTTGCCTTGCTTTTTGGCATCATTTAAGTAACTTGTTTTGCATTCACTAACATAGCTTGGCAATACAGTGGGCAGCTCTTAGCAGCACCATACAAATGGGAGCTGGATGGTCAGTAAATAAAACATTTTTCCTCTCAGCTGCAACAAAAGCAAGTATCTTTGAGACAGAAGCAGCCCCACTTGCAGCTGCTTTAAAGTTTGTCAAAAGGACAAAATTGAACTAAGGATGGCAAGACCACAGCCTTTCATGTTTTTACAGAAAATCTGGACTTTCAGCCTCAGCTCCTAATACTGAGATGGAAATCCCTTTCCATCTCTTAATACATGATTTAAACTACAGCATGGAGTGTCAAGACCACTCCGCTTTCTGGGGGCCCTCAGGACAGTTTATTATAGACTCAAAATATTCATATTGAAGGCAGACTCCATGAAGAAAACAATTCCACAGGATCCAACCATTATTAGGAAATCCAGTACTTTAATATTTGCATCCATCTTTCTGACAGAGTTTGTTCTCCTCCCTAGAAGAGTTAAAGGGGAAGTCAAGAAAAGCAGATTTCACTCTTCACTAACAGTGTTAGGTTTTTTTACCTTTGTCTTGTCCCTCATAGAACCTTTTCCCAAAATAGACATTTTGGTCAGTGTTTCTTCCTGTAAGCGCTTTAGAGAATTGCCACGTGGACCCAAAAGTTTTCCCACAAAGTTGAACTGTAAGGAAAAAAGACACATTAGCTCATTTTTGATTAAAAGCCCAACATAAAGTCAGCAAAGGGCAAATATTTTGCTGAGCAACTTATTGGAGTAGGTGCAGTGCGATCAGACCATAAATTTCATAGCCATTAAACACAGACAAGTAGGACAGATATCACTTTAGCGGCTCTTCCAGATACCAGCAGAAACCTAAAATATCTAGCCCAAAGAATTATCAATCAGCATAAGAGGAACTCACATTCATCACATTCAAAATTGAGAACAGAGATATCTGAACTACAATTTAGCTTTTTCAATAGCTGTTAGAAGTAAATAAGCATAAGAACAAAACTGGCTTTTAAGATAAAATCAAGCAAGGAGTTGCTTCAGGAGTTGCTCAGGATTTATGAAATATAGTAACCCATGTAATGTACCCTATGGCATCCCAGAAACAGAAAAGGAACATAATTCTACTTGGGACTGGATTTAACGCTTAAGTTTTGTCACATGCCACCCAACCCCTATTATTCTTCAAGCTTATCAACATCAGTTGGAGTTCATAATCTTAATATTCCTCTCCTTAAACTACACTATTGGTAGCCTGCCCCAAAAAGGAAAGAGGCATAGGACTTAAAGAAAACACAATCATTCCTATTTACAGAAAAATACTGAAGCAGAGGCTGCTTGTGAATGCCTGAGGCTTTCAGCTCAGAAGTTGCTTTAGATGGTGAGGAGGCTAAAGCAGACAGAAATCCAAGAATTCCATAGGAAAGGGGGGAAAAAGTCTGCCTACTGCTACTTGCAGGGACACAAATTTGGGCTTAGAGGAGCCAGGAGGCATGAATGTCCCCATCAGAGCTGCTCCATAGGGCATATATTCCCAGTCACAACCCTTTGGAGCATCTGTGTAGTCCTCTGCTTCTGTACATCAGAGATGAATCTAGTTCTGGAAGGTTTATGATATTTGAAGGATAGTTACAGAAGAGAGATTTTCTTAAAGGATACATCACACATCCACTTCATTTTTCCTAAATACTAATAAAAGTAAACCACTGAAAATCGTACAGAATGTTGTAATATAGGATTACTTATTAATAAAATGCTATTCAAAATACTTACCAAATAAAGCTTTATAAAACCAGCAGCTATTCAGACTGTTATAACAAAGATCAACGATGCCAACAAAAAGTCCTAGACATAAAATATCTTTGCTGTACACAATTATATTTAAAGTACTTGTTTTTGTGACCTCAAGCTTATGAAATTGTTTGTAGATCATCTTTGACTGTTCATTTAATGAGTCATTAAAGAATCAAGATAAAAGAATAGGGAAATCAAGTCTAACTACCAGAACCCACTTTGACAGTCACACAGCAGCAATAACTGCTCCTGTTTGAGCTGCTACCAAAACACTCACAAAAAAAGACTGAGGCACATCAGGCACCATACAAGGGAAGTGCACAACTCCTGTTTCTTTACTTAAGCTTTAAAGTCAGTAAGTGAAAAACCCTAATTGCTATGCTTTGGTTCTTGCAAAACTGATTCTCATTGTGAGCAGCGCACAGGAATTTGAGGTCTTTCGTAAAGCAGGTTTTTCTTAAACTGTATTACTTCAAGCATCAAAAATCTTCAGATGACTTCTTAGTGTTTTGCGACAATGTTTTTATAGCTCCTAAACTACCATCAAGAATGATGTATACTAGAAATAAGTTGCCCAGAGAGGTAGAATCTCCCTTGTTAGAAATACTCAGGATAGCTTCAGGGCCTTTTATAATATAGTATAAGACTATGATTTCAACAGAGGATTGAATCAACATTCTCCAGAGGCCCATTTCAACTCAGACATCTGACTGATTACTACAGATCTATCTACAAGGAAAAGTTTCAAAATAATTAAAAGAATAAGTAAATATAGAACTTAACTATAGAACAAATAATCAATGATGTCAAAAGTTCCCCCAACTGAAGGATTATTTCTTAAGAACAGTAACTTTATAAACTCAAGAGTGGTCTATGTAATGAAAAAAATCATATCAACATTTCAAACACTACTTAAGTTACCTTAAGTTTATTAAAAGCTATTTTTATATTTTAATTTTATATTCAATGATTATATAATAGGTATGTTTGCATTTTTAAAGTAGCTTAAGCAATAAGGAATATCTATTTACATAACTTTTCCTAATGTTCCTAAATGAGAGTTTGATTTACCATATTCAGATCTATTGCAGAATGTTCCATCTCCAATCTGATATAGGCCACATTTCCAGGCAGCTGCTAATATATTCAGATCTAATGTTACTCAAAACAATTTGACAATGACTTGACATTTAAATGACTGACAATTAAAAGAAACAGTTCTAAAACTTGCCCTACAGATCTCCACTAGCATGACAGGTTTTCTCCTCAAAAGCAAAATATTCCTGATGTGGAAGCTAGAGATTATAGTGGCTGTACAAGTAGTTGCACACATGTTCTAGACAACACATATAGTGAACATGAAAGTGTTAGCTGTATCTTGAGATAAAGCAAACTATTCTCTCCTGTGCACTGAGGCTCAAAATATTAGATTCGGCAAGTCTGAAGCATGAAAAATCTGTGCTGCAAATCTGACAAACCCTACTGATTTGAGGTCATAAGACCTCTAGATATAGCCTAAAATCACAGGAATATTAGTAAAAAAGCAGTTTACAAAGCCATCCTAAAGGCTTTGCTCACAAATAACAGAACTAAAGAGGCAATGGCACATTTCAGAGTTTATCTATTACTCCATAAATGGAATCTATTTATTGACAGAACTGAATAAATCCTTCAAGCACAAAAAATGAAAGAAGTTATTATGAATAGGTAATAAATTTGCTTTGAACTAGTGTTTTCTTTTTCACTTCACAGAGGATATGCAAGCACTTAAAGTGCTATCAGCCACTAAATTACTACTATTATTTAAATACTATCAAGTTCACTACCCCTAGTATTAAGGAATACAAAAACTCAAATCTTAAGGTTTAAAAACATGTAACTGAAGATAGAAAATACAGAAGATCTTATTAAGAAATTAACAAATACAGCCCAGATATGATGAAGTAGAAGCAAAATAATCCTGGTGGCCTCAATTCAATTCTTACCCAGCTTGCTCACTTGCTTTACAGGCACTTCCATTTCCCATCTTAGATATCAGACCTTGAGAGTCTGTCCCTCATGTCCCTCCAGACAACTCTGAGGGAATGCCAACCATAACAGTTATTCTATAAGATAGATGGATCTACATTAAAAATTCTCTAAGTCAATGCAGGTTCTGATTTCTTCAGTTAGAATTATGAACTTATTTCAGTTGATGGTATAGAAACATGACAATAAATTCCATATCTCAAAGCTGCTTCTGGACCTGCTCCAAAGGATACTACAAATACGGGTAGGCTGAGGAAACTGAAGACCACAGCTATAAATTTAAGCTACCTTTGCAATAACAGCATCAAGATCCACAGCAGAACTGGGGAAAAGGATTAGCAGGGATAAAAAGTTTGTTACATTGTTCAAGGCAAACAGCAGTCTGGTAGCCATGAGTCTTGTCTACTGAAATCTGTCAGAATATCAAAATATCACTAGCCACACATTAGTTGGATCAAAAAGATGCAAGATTCAGAAGAAAATACTCCTCTATCTCCTAAAAGTTCTATCTTGTTTCACTGAAAATACATTGCCTTCCACCTCTGGTTTAATCTGTGATTTAAGTTAGACCATGGAGTGTCACCAACACCTTGTGTCTTCAGACACCAGCATCCTAATTGCTCAGACATGCACAGCTCTTGGCCATGGTGTCCTCTAGTCCACCTCTGGTTTAATCTGTGATTTAAATTAGACCAACACCTTGTGTCTTCAGACACCAACATCCTAATCGCTCAGACATGAACAGCTCTTGGCCATGGTGTCCTCTAACCTACAAATACAGCAGATTATATATATATAGCCTTTTTTTGCAGACTAGTACAAGGGAGTTTAGGGAGACCGCTGCTTAAAAACTTATTTCCCTCAGGACTTCGGTTTACCACAATATGCCTACAGCAGTAATCTGGAGATAATTTCAGGGAAATGCTGGTAAGAAAGTATTCTGCTAGAACAATTCTCAAGACTGACACAAAGGAATACACAAATGAAACATTATTTGTGAGCATCTGATCTATTGTACAAATTTCAGCAAAAAAAAAGATGCCAATGCCAGCACTACAGCGTGTTTAAACATAAGCATTACTGAAATGGAGATATAACAGAAAGAGTAATCCTTGTTTATCCGCATCAAGACAAGTCTGCTGGGAATGCTTCATCCAGCTTAAAATATTTTGTGAAAGAATAAATGCTTGACCAAATGTTTCAGCCAATGTCAAATCCAAAGGAATCTTCTTTTGTCATATTAGCTTTCTCTAATAGTTCCTCAGTGACTGGATTACACAAAAAAATGATAGCGACCTTTTAATATTCAAGAGCACTTTCCCTTAGAGCAAGCTGAAACCAGAACCACCTCAGGATTTTCCTTAATCATTTCAATAGCCAAAAGGTTTCCAGAAAGACAAGCGCTTCAAGCGTCTACCACATGAAATTACTGTCTTCTTCACACAACTCTCATGATAACAGATCACATATATTCAATGTGAAGCTTTGTCAGTTTTTGTAAAGCAATTCAGTTTTCTGGTAATAATTCAGTTTTCTGGTAATAATAAGCTGGTTCTTCCATGCCAACTATGCCTTTATAATTTCTTGTTCCCATTCCTAACCCAAAAACTTGCCTAACCCAAGAAAAGCACACAGAACTAAGCTGTTGTATAAAACTGATTTCTAACTAGTAACATGATTAAAGTATTTTCTCCACAATTTCTCACAGTAACTGTAGACACATTCTATAGGATAATGTATTTTTTTAATAGATAGTTTCTCTCAAAAAAATTAACTAATGTTTAAATGACCCGGACTGAAGTACCCAGCTGGCCAAATATTAATGTCTATCCTCATTAGATCTCATTCTGCTAACTTTGGAAGTTAAGCATTCAGCATCCATGTGGACTTTGACATTTTACATGAATAACTTAATCTGGAACTGAGTCCTGCCTCAAGAAGTTGGCCTTTTTTGCCTATCAGATTGCATAAAACCCACTCACCTTCCTTCCATTTAATCCTAGCACAAGTCCTAGTTATAACAGGATTCTAAAGAGTTCTATGAAAGTATGTCCAGATGCCCCCTAAAGATTTTGGGGTGCAATTCCCATATCCCAGCCATTTCTCAAAGCAGTCAGCAGAGGTAGATCAACCAGACCATGATCGCACACAATCTGATTTGTAAGTGCTTTTTTATGTATACATATTGAGTTTGGAAAAAGACTTGACCCCCTTGCAATCTATACAGTTTCCATATGATGACAAAGTATTACTTGGCAAGGCAAGCATGTCAAGACACAGTACTTTATGTTCTTCATAATACATTGCACATTACAGTTACTTCAAATACACAATTAACTTTGTGTAGAAACCAAGCATGACTTCCAAGACTACCTTGTCAAATTGCTTCACAGAGCAGACAATTTAGGTTGTTCAGATTTAGCATGAGATATTAAGCTTGTTAATACTGTCAAGATTTTAGCAAGACGAAAGGTCTCTGAAAGAAAGCAGGTAACAGAGAAGCAATTAAAGCCTGTTAGGTAGGAGACAAGGTTAACATATCCATATGAGACTGTGGAAACTCTCTTTGAAAACTGAGCAGTTGAATCCATTTGTTTATCTGTTTTCCCGTGGGAACAAAGGTGCTCATAAAAAGTGAAAAATCTGTTTTTTTGAATGAGGCCCATCAGATTCCTTTCAAAGAAAAGCAGGAAATCTGAGCTTCAGTTGAACAGCTTTCTGCTGCGTAACCTAGTCACCTGCTAGGGCTGCCAGAGGTAACGATGTCAAGTATGCAGAGGACCTGGCTCTGATCCTGCCAGAGTGTGACAAGACAGGTAATGTGACTGGCCATGGCAATGAGAGGTTGACCAGATCAGAGCTAGAACTGTCAGATCTCTCCTGAGGCTGTTATGATTTATTCAAAGAGTCAAAGAGGAAGTTCTAGGAAGAAAAGGGTCAAAGAAACACTAAAAGGAAGCTTTTATTGAAGCAGTTAACTGCACTGGTCTAAGTCCATCTGACTAAGCAGCGAATTGATGGAAAACATAATAACTTTTGCTAACAAAAGCACTTCACTTGTAATTCTCTAAATATTAAACCAAAAGGTTAATCAGTTTTTCAACCTGATGCAAGTTAAACAATGCAGCTGTTTTCATTTTGGAAGAGAGGTTGTCATTTCTGAAGTTGAAGCAAGCTCAGCTTTTCCTTCTCACTTCCTTGATGCCCAGGTTTGCCAAATTCAACCCAAACGTATTACCTCAGTGCTAGTTTGATAGGTTTATCAGTTACTGAATTTGGTTAAATCTAAACAGAAGATCCCTTAACACCGAAAGGACTCTATCCCCTAGACAGGAAGAATCTTTCCATCCAGGACCTTGTACCCATCACTCAAGCTTTAGCAAGGGCTGTTTGCATGTAGAAAGCAAGAGGACAAGTCCCTTGCTAGAAGAATGCCGTCAAATTCAGCATTTATACACAGACAAGTATTTGCATCCTTAGATATCCTAACACTAACCCCTCTTTCAGGCAGAACAGGTGAGGCCTGACAAACCACCCGGGCACAGAAAACCATGGCCTAGAGGCAGAATTTGTTCACATGAAGTGTAATTTCAGGTTTTACACTGTACAATACCTTTTACTTCAGTTCTGCAGACTGAATATAATATATGCACACTAAAATGCAGCTCTGACTCCTGAGTGCCTGCAATAGTTTCATATCTACCATTTACAGACTGAACACTCCTAATCTGAGTCCTTCTCTAAACCTGACAGCAAAAAGATCACTATTTACAGCAAATTTTAGCATACAAAAGGCTTTCAGATCTCCTATATACAGGCAATTCAAGACAGACATCACTCAACAGCCTATATGGTAATCTAGGATAAGGCAATCCATTTGCCATGTTGAAGTTGCATCACTTGGTCTTAACTTTCCTTCTCTAAGATTCTGCACATATAATGTTTGGATATTATTCTTTATAGTCACGAAGATGGAAATGTGAATTTGAAGCCAAACAGATGCCCTCATATAAGCACACAAGCTCACAGAAACTCATGGAAGCAACTCTTCCAGAAAATTTGAAGCTCGTTTGAAAAGCAACCCCTCCAAGTTATCCAGCACAGCCTAGGTGGAAAACATAGATAGCATGAAGAAACTTATTTAGAAGAGATCCAGTGAAAGGCAACAAATAACTGAGTTTCTTGGCTCCATAAAGAGAGACAAGAGCAGCCTTGAAATTTCCAGTAGGAAAAGCAAGCCATTCAAACAAATAAAAAAGATTATTCTGATTGTATAGGATTATCTCTTCATAAAATTTGGTTAGAGTTCCGCAGTCTATTGAATGTTGAATAAATGCTTCCATGTAGCAATTCTTTATTCCCAAATAACAGCTGGCAGAAAAGAAACATTAAGGATTCACAATGGCCAAAAATATTAACAATGCAGTCCCTATTTTTTCTACAATAGACTACATAATTGAGTAATACAGGTAAACCTAATTCAACATTGCAACACAGGCTAATCTTTCAAAGGACTGAAAGGAGAAAAAATTATAATGAACTCATTTTCTAGTGGTGCACTTTGTACTTTTTCCTACAATAAAGTGTCAAAGCACAGCACTTCAGGCAACTCAAATATAATTCAACTCTCGCTATTGTGAAGATCCTCATTTTGGAGGAGAACTTATTTTTAGCTATCTGAAAAATACGACTTATCTCTGTTCTCAAAATACTTTCTGTATGACTGGGAATACTCTCCTGCTCATTTATTGTAATGAGAAGTTTTCCTACTACAGAGTTCACTTGTGTCATGCCAAAAGGAAATGTTACCAAATACTACTTTGAGGGGAGAACCAGGCAGTTCCCTCTAACCTCTGAGAAGGGAGAATAACCCGTCTGAACAGCCCAATATTAAACGTAAATCAAAACTTTATCTACAAAGTGGAGAGAAGAAATCCCAGCTTTCTAAGTAACACAAAATTTAACATCATACATCGAGAAAAAAGGCATTTGAGACCTATAGGCTCAGATTGCAAACAGTATTTAGGCATTATCATTCTCATTTTAAGCTGTAATTCTTAAAAAGGACTTCAAGATGGATGATTCTTGGAACATATTTTCAACACAGTCATTTAACTTTTATTATATAAAATAGAAAAATGATATTTCTTTGAGGACAACTGGTAGAATATTGCTTGCAACAGTTTACGTAAGTATGCAATAATACTTAGGTTCAATTTTGGATTTTTTTGTAAAAACGGTTCCATAAGAATTTGTATGGAACAGACCGAAGGATAACATTAATACTCCTAAATGTAAGGAACTCCTCTAATAACCTAACTAGATAACTATCCCTTGAAAGTATTTAGATATATAAAGTATAAAAGGTAGACTTACCTTAGGAAACTGTTTTACTGGAATCAAAACTTTTTGTCCCAACTTCATATTTTTATTGATGACCACATCAATATATTTTTCTTCTTCCTTCCCTTCTCCCTTTTGGAATTTTTCAATTTCTGTCCAAGAAAAAGAAAAGCCTGTTACTTTCTCAGTTTAAGACCACAATCTAAAAGCTGTATCTCCAAAAACAACTGGGTGATTTAAAAAAAAAAATCACTTTTAAATTAACGCATTACAGCATAACAGCATTAGATGGAGGTCCAAGGAGTAAGCCATGCTTACTGTACACTTAGGAGCAAATGTCAATTCAATCTCTCTCAAAATATCACAAACACTATTAAGCACATAAATCATATCCCAAAATCTGGGATTAGTGCTGTAGCACTGATCACATCATTAGGAGTGATATTTAAGAAGTCCCAACCTAGACCTCAGGATACTACACATTCCCATGTGCACACACACACAAAACGCATTTTCATTATAGCTGTCTCCTGTGCTAATGAAAATAGTGCAGACTGCAGTTCACAGGTGGTGGAAGGCAAGGAGCTCACAAGGAGACTGAAAATGAAGCATCTGTTGAACTATTCTACATCTGACTGTGGTACATTAAACACATGTTATCACAGGACTATCAAAATAGAACCATGTACAGAATTGCTACAAAAGGTCTTTTAGACTAAAAGATTTGTCCCTCCCTCAGTCATCTTAAGAGCTTGCTCGTGAAATTTAACTTAAAAAATCAAAAACATACAAAATAGCCCTGGAGCTTCATTTCTTGATCAGGAAAAGTTAGTGAAACTTACAAAAATTTTATTTAACACAGAAAAGAAAGCATCCTCTAGGTAACTTTTTACAAGGGAAATTAGTTGGAAATAATCTTTCTTCACTAATGAAAAATAGAAGGAACTATGACTGGTAAAACAATGTATTTCTTCCTATAATAAATGCAACACTGAGTTTAGCTTAATGAATATTAGTTCCTTCACCCATATGACCACAAAAAAAGGACAGCACTAACATCCTTATAGCTGAAACTCGAGTCTCCTTTCTCCTTATGCTCTCATCTTACTAGCATGGAATAGGAAATATTTTTAGCCAAGTTAATGCCTTAGAACTGAAAAACTAAAGTAGTAAAGCTGAACTCACCAACTAACCTGAATACTTCTGGAAGAACGGTCTTCTGCACTTATGCTTTCAAATGATTTTAAGTTCCTAGAAAGTTTTGGGGTGGTATGGATTCTATGAATAGAGAAGTCTAGAAATAAAACCTGCAAGATTCATGTTCTTTAAGGCAACTTTTTCTTAAAGCATCTGTTATGCTCTAGCATGCTCAGAAAAAGGCATAAACTGCTCAGTCCAAAGACCCATACACTGAAGACAGCTATTTCAGAAATGTTATTTTAACACATAAATACTAGTGAAGCATAATGAACTTTTTTATGTAGATGCAACTTATGTACCAGTGTCACAGTCAACTAGACAGATAAAATTTTGAAATTCCTTAACAGATGAAATAAAGATCAAGTTTTTCCTGCTCTGGAAACTGCATCTGAAAGCACTATTCAAAAATTGATTGCAGTAACCTGAAACATCCTGCTAATATCCCTGCACCCTGGTAAGGGTGGTCAGGAACCTGGGTTTCTTATGGAATATAAGGCTGGATACTTAAGGTGTGAGATTTATGAGAAAACACAGAAATTATACATATTTTTAATGTTATGTTTATGCACATTTTGAAGTCAATTCATCTGCATAATTTAAATGATTGAGATCCATTCTTAGCATTTTTAAGAAAACTTTTATCCCAAACTATATAATATATTAAAATCGTAATAAAAATGCATCCTACTTTAATAAACAAATGCAGTTACAACAATTTAAGTTACTTCATTTAGTATTTGCCTAATATATGTTAGTATTAGAATTCACTCAGAAAAGCAGAAATATCCAGCATAGTTTGGCTCAATTCAGGAAGATTTATATAACTCAAGACTCAAGTGAAACTAAGCATTGATGTTCTGGTAGTTAGAGTGACATAAGTTTGACTGATAAGTTACTTCATAGTAATTTTAATTACTGTAATTTAATAATTGCTGCTATAGTAAAGACTAACTTTTCAAAGCATACAACAGATCATCTAGATTTAGAAAATAAGAGTATCTTTGACAAAAAAGTTCGCCTTTTTTGTCAAAGGTAAAACTAAAAAAATTGTTTCTCCCACTAAGGCATGTGCTATATTACACAAAGTACCATGTGCACACAGTGATGCCCAAGAGTATCCAAGAGATCTCCATGTCATACTTATAACTATATATTAAAAATGCAAAACTGATTTTTAAAAAACTGGAGGCTTTTAAAGGAATATGAAATAAAATTAGGCACTAAACAGAAGAATGGCAAACTATCTGATATTTATCTCAGGTACATCAAGGTTAGGTAATTAGGGAAAAAATCATACCAGACCACTCAAACCCAATCAGATATTCAAGGTCAAGTGAATAGGAAGATTTGCCTTTTCCTAATCCTTAGATTACACTCCATACTGCTTAGCTATATAAAGTGATGACATTTCCTAGATCACAAATAGGAAACGAACATGCGATTAAAGCTTCACATAATGCTAGGGATTAAAATCTCATGTTCTCCAACTAAGGATGCAGCTACTGCTGTAGTGCAGGAATTTAGCTCAATGAAGTAATAATTGCATGGATTTTTTTTTTGTTTGAATTTAATCATAGCAGAGAGGTCTAAGCGATGATTATTTCTCAGTTAATCCACCAAATAATGTTGGTAGATGCATCAGAATGACAAAGTAGAATTGTTTCACTTTAATCTCAAGGTAGAATTAATCTTCCTATGGCAGAATGACATGCCAGGAACCCCAAACACCTCTGCTAAGACAGTATAAATACTTGTGTTTATCCAGAATTAAGCAATGCTCCATGCTCATCATGGTAAATCGATATAATCTGTGCATAAGCAAACACACACTTCAAATGAACAAAAATGTTTATTGTATTTGTCATTTAGGAGCTCCTTTACCAAGTATTTCATAAAACTACCACCAATGTTTTCCAGCAAGTAACATTTATAAAACAAGATCCAAAACAAGTCAGGTATGTTTTTGTCCACAAGCTGCTGAGAACATTTTTACCATTTCTTCTTAGATTCAGTAACTTCATCAGAAAATCTTCTGAATTAACATAAAACAAAATGATCAGTTTTAGGTCATACATTTTTCTACTTCAGATGGAATAGTAAATGAAGAAGCTAAGGCTGCACTTCTGAGACATCCACACAACTGTGGCTTCAGAAAGAGAGGACCTCATTGGGTTCATTAGAAGCTTCATTAGAAGTTGGAATAATTTCAACATTCATTTTGGAAGAATGTTGTCCTTCATGAATGTTCCTAAATGCTCCCAAATAAGAAACTATAAAGTTATCACTGAAGGGATTTGGGGGATAGCTAACATCATAAAATAGCAGCAATATATAGTGTCTTTTATTAGATAATTAAGAGAAGTAAAAGTTAAATGGAATTATAATTTAACCTTAAGAAGTTAAGGTTTCAGCACTTTCTTATAACATAGTAATCAACCTACTATGTTATAAGAAAGTGTTGAAATATGGCCCAGTTACAGGAGCATTTGTGAGTAAATTCTCAAGACTTCACAGCATTATTAGATATAAGTGTCTTCCATTCAGAATGTCAAATTAAAGGCTGAAGTATCTTTAAATGCTTTCCCTGTCCTTATATTTCTCAAAAATATCTGTTCCAAGCCACTGCAAAAGATATAATACTGAGCTAGATGGGTATCTGCTCCCAGCAGATACAGCCATTTCTTATATCCCCCATGTTTAAAAAAATACAGAAATTCTAAAAAATTCTACTGAAGTTCTACAAGGACCTAGGAAACACACCCAAGCTCTGAAAAGTTCCAAAAGGTTAAAAAAGGATTCTGCTCAGAGCAGAAAAGCATTTTGTAGAACGCAGGAAAAAAAAATGTCCTTAATGGAGAGAGGGGAAAAAAACAAGAACAATACATGGGCTGTTCAGTCTCCTCAAAACTGAGGGTGTTTCCAATTCCAGGCACCAATAACTACCTGCAGGCACCTTGGGAACCAAAATCCTTGGTAGAAATATTGCTATTTTACAATACGCAGACTTGCATGAGGAAGTTCAGGATGAATCTAGACGTGACCATCCCCTACGTGCTGAAAGAGTACGAGTCACTCAAATGCAATGAAACTTTCAGTCTTTAAAGCAGCTGCTCTACTACTACATCTATCCACATGCCTCTGTAATAAACTTTAGTAAACTCCACCTTCCCTCAGCCACCCTTTGCACAATTTAAAAATAGGCAGTAACCATAAGTCTGCACCCTACTGTAAATCCCAATATTGAACTGTAAAAAGGAATACAGCAAGAATATAAATTGCATTTGAGCAGAGTAATTTAACAAATGCATCCTGTTACACATTTTGGATTCAAACTGTTCTCTGCTACCTTTAATACTGTAAGAATACCCAACTATTAACCTGATTTGAATTTACAAAATGAGGAGTTCATGCTAGAACTGTGCTGCAAAACACAGCATACTAACACCACATCCCTGTTGCAAGACTTACCAGTGCAACTCACATCAAGATCAGGGCAAATTCTATTTTACAGTCCAACTGCTGGTCTGAAAATTCAGACACCAATATGGCAAATATTTTCAATAACCTTTAAACAACTCAAAACTAATTGAACACCTGTTATGTTCAAACTAAGAATAACACCACCAAAATCTCTTTAGACTAATATCAGAAACAAAACAGAGCAATACAGCAGGA